AGCAGCAGAAGAGGAAAATGGATCAGAAGGAAATTCAAAATGAATGAGCAGACAAAATGGAGAAGGAGGCTAAGGAGAGAAGCAATTTAAATAGATCAGGAGGATTATATTGGAGCAAGGTAGGTATCTTTTAGACAGCAGAACTCTTTTTCCCCTCAATTAGTCTTCTGCATTTCAGTAGCTCCTGTCAACTAGTGCAGGAAGGAGGTCATGGTAATGAAAATAGCTATTTTTGATTTTTTTTTTTCTCTCTTTAAGTTTTCAATTCCTGGAACATTGCCTGTCTCATGGAAATTAGAACAGAAATGCTGAGCAACAACAAAGGAGCAGGAGTTAATCTCTTGACCAACCTCTTAACTCAAGCATTGCCAATACAGAAATTCATTAGAGGTCCTTCAAGTAATCAAGATCCATCACTATTACTTAATACACCACAGTGCACAGACATCCTTCATTCTTTCTTCAACTAAAAAGGAATGTGTTTTACATTTATGGCACCATACACGTAGCCGACAGTGCTGGCCCAGGTGCCTGAGGTGTGCCTCAGGTGTGCCTGGAGCCTGCAGGGGCCCAGTCGCAGGTGCAGGCCGCATGGCAATGGGGCTCTGGGCAGACCTTGTGGCAGCATGGTTTGCATTAAAGTACTGCCTACACAGCAGCTTTTTTGCCCAAAAGCGGTAGATATGGGATGAAACCCTGCCTTTGGGTATGTTAGTTAGACAGAGAGGATGCACCTGTTGAGCTGTCCCTCACTGGAAGGCAGCCATTTCAAGCTGCCTCCCCTACCTCTGCACCAGCTATGAGTTCAGCCTGTAGATTTAGCCTGTATTTCCTGCCTCACAGGTTGCAGGAACTGCATAAATGACAACATTTAGCAGTTAGAGAGCACTTTCCATCTTCCAAGCTTTGTATGAACATTAAGTAGTAAACATGTTACCGTAAACATGACAAATGGAGATGGAAATAGCACAGTTTGGGTGAAATTGGTAACTGACTCAGCTAGAAATTTTCGTGAGCAGGGAGGTGATCTGAACTCAGGCTGTAGAGACTGAGAAAGATGCAAAATGGGAGGCATAAGAAATACCAAATTGCAACACTGCAGGTGAATGAGTGTCAAACTTTGCTAGCAGCCTGGTGAGGATGAGAATTTAAGAAATCTAACAAGATTTCTTGGCATCTTCAATTGTTTTCATTGCACTCCCAGAATCATATAAAACAAAACCAGAAGGGACCACTGAGACTATACACCATGATTTGTATTACACAGGCAATAGCATTTCTCTGAATCCATGATTTTTGTTTTGTTTTAAATTAAATTGTGTCCTCTTAGAACAACTGATTTTGTTCCTAGAATTGCTAGTGGTAGAAAAATGTCCCAACTTTTAGCAAGCTTTTCTAATGGTTCCTTACTCTTTTTCCCTCACACAAATATTCCCTTAAAAGCATGTGAAAGGTGTGTCTATTAGAAACTTCTAATAGGTTTAAAATGCTGTCCCAAAATTGTGTTCTTCCCCTAAACGTAGTCTAAGCCATGATTAGTTTTCCATTTAGCCTTCTTTTGCAGTAACTCACACATCTGGGCTGTCTTGCTTTCACCTGTTTTCCAGCGCTTTTACCATGCATTGGCCAGTCTGTCTCAGAATACTCTCCAGCTTCTCAATTACCATTTTGAACTGCAGAGGCCAGAACCAGGTGTTGTATTCCAGAAGCTGTTAAATAAGCACCCAGCAATGTGATTTTTCTACTCCTTTTCTGGAGTTCTGCTTGTATTGCTTAGGGATGCCTTCAGCTTTCGAGCCCAGCAGCACCCTAACAGCCCACACTGAGTCTATTATCTTCCATAATGTTAGGTCCTTTTTAGATTCACATTTTCCTGTTGTTTAAATACTCCCAACATTGTTTATTACAAGATGTGACCTTCATTTCATATGATCTAATTGTACACGAAGCCTCTCTGGTTTATCCCCCTCTTTATTTGCCACTTCCCCTAGTTTTCATGTTCTCTTTGACTTTGTCTGTAATTGGGAGTTGAGGAAAGCTGTTTTGAGAACTTATGACCACTGTTTTCAGCAGGATGCCATCTCCTATTTTGGCTGCGCTTCTCCTTTTTAATCTTTATGTTACCTTGGGCTTTTCCCTGCCAGCAAGGGTTTGGTTGTGGTTCTTTCTTCAAATTATCTCCCATATTAGAAAACTGATTCGTACTAGACCTGGTGAACTTGATGAAAGCTGCTGTAAACACATGAGTTTCTATGGGTTTAAAGTGAACTTGGTGAATACTTAGTAGAGTATTCCACTGTGAACCTTTTTTAGGTTTAAAAAGTAAACAAACTACATTTGGTTCAGGGAATACTCTGAACTAATAAGAGCTAAAGGTTGACAAAGGTGTTGGCCATTTTTTTGCTTTGTTGTCAAGAGATCACCCTACTATGGAAATTACCTGTCAGAGGGCCTGGCTACTCATAATAAGGCAGGAACTAAGCTTTCAGGGCCTTTTCATTCATTTTCAGTTGTCAGAGCTGAAGAATGAGAATACCCTGTCTCCCCAAAATTGGCAAACCTTTTGTCTTTTTTTTTGTCTTTTTTTTTTTTTTTTTTTTTTTTTTTTTTCCAGGTACTCCAGACACTTCCTTCCCAGAGGAAAAAATAGTCACAGTCAGAAACCTAGCATTACAGATGTTGTTTTCACATGATTTGTGCTGACTTTCTCTTTTACCTGCTTCTGTACGTGTCTGGCACCATTGCTTATGTGCCTCCCAAGGAGTTAGACAGTAAGCCAGAAGGGTGAGATTCAGAATGAGGGTTTTTGTTTTGTTTTTTCCCATGAGAGTCACAAGACACACCAATGCACCTGAGGGACCAGAACTGGGATAGGTGTTTATGTTGGTTCCAACTTTCAGGATTTTGCCTAAAATACAGATTGTCTCACTACAGATTTTAGAGGCATGGGGATCCAGTGGCTGGGTGTTCTGGCAATGATTTTGTGGCTGTTAACAACTGGTGTACAGGCATTTTCTTTCTTTTCCCCACAGATAGCATTCAAGTATTTCTCCAGGTCATTCATAAAGCACATTTTAAAAACATACGTCCAAAAATGAATCTGACATGGCTCTGGCTCGTGGTTCTATTCCCAGTTAGCTCCTGAAAACTTTACTTAGCTACGCTTTAATCAAAGTAGTGCATTAGTTTTTCTGTTTCGTCGTTCAGTATGCTTATTTCAGCTAATTATCTAGCTGATAGTAAGACCGTTAAGTTTGGATTTTTCAGATCTCAAGGTTTATCATTGAAATCTGGAGTTTGGGAAGATTATTTTGCACAGGGGAAATTTTTTGGTTCAAAGACACATTTTGCCACAGGCAAAATAAGTTTAGATTTGTCTCCCATCTTATAATAGCAAGTCCTTAATAATTAGGAAGTAAATACTTCAAGATTTCCTTCCTTTGATATCTATTGATAGAGCTGGTCTGACCTATTTTGTTTTGTATGAAATATCTAGATAGTTATGGCAAACAGAAAGCAATTGAGTGGGAATTACTCTGTAGCCTGGAGTTGACACATTCCCTTGAGAAAGAAAGGATGTGAGCTGAAGCTCTCTATGACAGAGAGGAGATTTTTCCCAAACCAGTTGGTATGTTAGAAAAGAGATAAGAAAGACAATTAATAAATTAATATTACCTGGGGAAAAAAAAAAAAAAAAAAAAGAAAGAAAGAAAAAAAGAAAAAAAAAAACTTTCTCAAGGTTGAAAATATTTGGCACTATAAATACAAATGCATAATTTTGAAACCTTTTCTTTTTTTCTTTTTTTCTTTCTTTTTTTTTTTTTTTTCCCAGCAAATTTTCTTTTTTTAATCTAATGTGGAAATTGATGTAAATGCTGAGTGGGAAATTTATGTTACTACCCATTAGCACTTGATTTGTACATTTCTGAATACATACTGTACTCTTACAAAAGATTCAGACTAATTAGGAGACAGGGAGTTTGAAAAGCAGATGTTATTTACAAAAGGCGATAGACAGGAACTTATGGAGAATAGTTTGGAACAGAAGAATAGAAGCAGAGAGACCAGCAAACAATCTGTTTTTTTCTTCCCCTTCTACTAAATTTAGAAGGCAAAGCTGCATTTTTTCCAGTGCTGTCAAAATTGAAGTGCCTTATAAAATGGAAGGGATTTAAAGTAACTCACAAATAAATAGCTGCTGTGGCTAGAAGGAAGGAATAGCTTAGAAAAGGAAGAAGAAGAAATCCTGCGGTCTGAAAGACTTAGCTGAGTCTAAATATGAACTTTAATGTCACTAGGACATTGTTTCCTGAAATCATTCATCTGACCCTGTGGAAACCAGAAAAGGGAGATTTACTCAAAATCCAAAATGTAATGGAAGTATTCCTTTAGCCTTTTACTTGGCTCTTGATCATCATCAGTAGCAAATCAAGTTCAGTAAATAAGATTTCTGCCATGAGCAGCAGAAATGTTGAGTGATATGCCTCAATCCTCCTGATCAAAAACTAAAATTTTTTTTTGAAAGATCTGTGTAGAAAAGCATGTAGAATGGATTTTGGAGTTTCTATTTTCTTATCAACAACAAGCATTGAAATTATTATTATTTAGGTATTGTTAATTATGGAAGTTTAAACTACGAGGTTTTTTTTCCCCCCACATCTTTTCAAGGTCTCAAAATTAGAAAGATGCAAGGATAATACTCAGGCATTATTGTGGATGCATCTACCATGACAGAGCTGAGGACAAAACCAAGAAGTTGTGAGGTTTGCTGTCAGTCAGAGCAAGAAAGTGTGCAGATGCCTGATGAGAAAGAGCTTGACTAGCTTGGAGTTTACTTGGTAGGGGAAGAAGTATAGCTTTTGCAGTGGACCAAAACAGATTATCCCAAAGATGCTCTTTTTTCCTCATGCTATGAAAAAGAGCATTGTTCAGGTTTTATAGATGCATGAAAAAAACCCTTCACGCATTGAAATTACATTTCTTTCTCTTTCTTTCCACAGAATTCAAAGTTTAAACTTAACACGGTGGTGCAAGCCTGCGTTTTCTCTTGTTCATTGAAATGGGAATATGAGTGGACCCTCACTTTGGAATTCAGACAAATCTGAACTAATCGAAGCTACAGACGTGTATGTTTATAGCAAAAGTAAGAAGCTCAGTTGTTAATGCTCACCATAATTAAATATCCAGTTATATTTGGTAGAGGGACTCACCTCCTACCTTGCTGCAGTGACTAAGCTTTGTTGAAAAGTCTAATTCATTTAATACCATTATTGAAAATTATAGCTTGAAGTTTTGATTCATGTCTTGAGCTCAGTTTGCAATTAGCGATTCTTAGATAATGTACTAGAACTCCTTCTAGTAAACCCACAGAGCCTGTTTTTTTGTGTGTTGAAAGCATTGGGTTGATAGAAGGCTGTTTCCTCCAACATGAGCTTTTACAAGCTGTGTATGCTATAAAAATGTTGTTAATGTGACAAAATTGTTTACTTGCTCATTAAAGAAACTCACACTAATGACTGGGAGAACCAGCAGTGTTACAGTGGAGTTGACAACAGGGCCCAGAACATAAAAATCGCAAGCGTACAGTACATTGGGCCAGAGAAGCAGGTCACCATGCAGATCAGCAGACATGGCTGGCTCATGAAGAGCTTTTTTCATGCATTTCTGTACCAAGTGTGTAGGCAGGATACAAAAATTTGAGTATCATAGAATTATAGAGTGGTTTGTGTTGGAAGGGACACTTAAAGATCATCTAGTCCAACCCCCTTGCCGTGATCAGTGACACCTTTCACTAGGTCAGGCTGATCAAATCTCCATTCAGCTCAGCTTTGAGCACCTCCAGTAATGGGGCATCTACAACTTCTCTGGGCAGCCTGTTCCAGTGTCTTACCACCCTCATAAGGAAGACATTTTTCATAATGTTCAGTCTAAATCTATCCCCTTTCATTTGAAAACTGTTGCCTCGTCCTGTCTACAGGCCCTGGTAAAAAGTCCTTCCCTGTCTCTTTTGTAAGTCCACTATACTAAATATATATTTAAAGGTAGGAGTAAGGTCTCCCCAGAACCTTCTCTTCTCCAGGCTGAAATGTGACGGAGCCCTGCTGGTGCTGGCTTGTAGGTCAGTGCCAAGCCCTCAGAAGGAGGTTTTTATGTACTTTTGTAGCTCCTTCAAAGGGAAATTGAAGTACAAACAAGCTAGCTGAGAACACTCCAAAGTGGTAGACCCAAGAGTTTTGTAGGACGCCAGCTCTTTTTCTCTGTGAACAGAAGGAAAGGTTGTTCAGGCACTGGTATCCATCACAGAGGGTTGCAACTCTCTCGTTACAACTTTTGCTGACTCCCAAAGTGAGCCTCTTCACCGATCCAATATCCCTGCCTGTCTGTGAGAGAAGAGTTTGTCCCTCAGATTGCAGAAGCAGCATTGTGGAATTTAGGGTTTGGTTAGAATCGAGATGGTACCCCTGAAATCTCATCCCCTACCTTCAACTTTATCATTGTCTATTAAGATATTACCTGTCCTTGCAAACCTTGCTTCTCTGAAATCCAGGTCGTTGTCATTATCCCAGTAATACTAAAGTGAGAAATGTTCCATTGAGCAAATTATCAGAAAGACAGAATCTATTTTGGCAAGTCTCCCTTGGAATTTGTGGATTCCTTTAACTGGCCCTTACTCCTGGCAGGAGTACTTGAAGTGAATACTATCCAACAACAAAAAAAAATAATAATTATCTCTAATTTATCATTCTGTAATAATCCCAACTGACTTTAGTGACAGCTTAATAGTGAAAGTGATTTCACTCTCTACCAAATAAAAACATAAATTACATCTTTTGACTGTCATTAAAGACATGGTGGGAAAATAGAACTGTTGTGTTTCTAGAATTTTAGGTGGCCTGAAAAAATGCACAGCGTGTACTAGAGTATGCTCAAAAGTATCTCAAAAACAGGCTCCTGAAAACAGAAAGACCTTTTGCAGTCACTGACATTTGGTCAAAGTGGGCTGACTCACCATTCTGCCTTTGTAATGTTTCATACCGGTTTTGCAATATTGAAGGTCTTCAGCTTAAGGAAGACTTTTCTTCCAGGGATTTTCCATACTGCTTTTACTTCAAACATTACCAGGAAACAAAGTTGGAAGCTCTCACATGTCCCCCCACGGCTAGGAGATGGTTACCCAACAAGATGCTTGCTTGAGGCACAGGCTCACCAGCTGACTAAATAATTGGCCTGGGGCAGGAGTGTGGGGGATAAAATATTACAAATAATAGCACAATCCATTCATTTGGTTGTTTAATGGCACTGAGCTATGCTCTTGTAACATTCCAGGGAAATGATGCAAAGCTGGAGGTAGGTTGCCAGCTTTGTGAGCAGGGAGTGCTGGCATAGCCCTGCTCCCCGAACTACACATGTACGATTGAAGTAAGGGAAGTGGGTACGGATGTGGTATTCCAGCCCTTTCAGGGAGCTGAATATCAAGCAAAGAGGGGGTGAGGGAAGAAAAAAGCAAAGCCTTACAAAGCCTCAGCTACACTGAGGAATGAATAACAGTCTGCTTGCTTCTGGAAGAACTTCCCACCACCAGGGACAGATGGGGTGGACCCCAAAAGCTAAGATGGGATTGTGTGAGAGCTGACAACGCTGCCAACAGGACTCCGCAGCTGATGAGATGATCATTGAGATCAGCTCATTGAGCTGATCATTGATTTTGATGTCCATCACAATGGAAAACGCTTGTTTCATCCGATTTGGGGAAGTCATATCAAACTCACAGACAGGAACAATATTAGTAAGACTCTATTATGCAGTCATGGTGAAAGTTTAGCATAGCGAAGAAATAATATGTATTAGGTAAGGTGAAAAATGGAGCCACACCTCCAAGAATTCCCAGTTTGCGGGCTTTAAGCTTTTTTTCTTGACAAGGCGGGGGGGAGCTGAATATTACCCAAAAAAAGGTGACAAAATCCCTGCCTGAAAAGCTCATCTTCTAAAGCTTTTATAAATGATCTTTGCACTGCAAGTTTCAGTTTTCATGAAGTCAAATTGAGATAAATCTGAAAATTTATACGGATTTAAAAGAACAGTTACTAAAATAGTCTTGTCATTCACAATAATATAGAGTGAGTGAACTTGTTCCACAGTGACCTTATTTTTTTTATTATTTTTTAATGTTCCAGCAAACTGTATATAATCCCAGGACTGTAGGTACAGTCTTATGTAGCATTGTCATTCTGCCCCACCACTCTGATTTCTAACAAAGTAATACTTTCTGGATATTGTCTACTAATTCTTTCCTTCTTTATGTAAGAGGTAGATGCACATATTGCCTAGTTTGTCATAGAGCATCACTGAAATACTGTTTTATTTGTATTTGTGGAGACAACAAAATCAAAGGTAGCAGCTTGGTGATTCCAACTGAGATAGTAATTAAGATAAAACAGTGAAGTTTCTAGCATATATTAGAAAGCCTGGAGGAATTAGCACAGCTTGCAGGAAATCATGCTGGAATGAGATATTATTTGACAGCAAACGTGAAAATGTTGTCTTTTTACCAAGAATGATGAGAATTGATATGTCTGCCCTGTGTTTGGATAGGTAAGTGGGGTAAGTGAGTTAAGAGGAGCTGAGGATAGAGGTCGCAGGGGAACTGGGAAATGAATGAGATAATTTAACCTCTTTTCCATACAAGCATTTTTTAAAAACCCATACTTTTGTGATTATCCAAATTTTTTTATACAACTCTATTTTAACTAGTTCAGTTTTATGGATAGCAGCTAACTATAAAAAGAAATAACATCCTGAAGTGTCCTTGGAGCCACTAACTCTACCTCTCTATCTATTCCCTAAGAAGATGCCCTGGATTTAAGGACTATGTGTATTAAAGCAAGTATGAGAAGAAACAGCTTTTTATGACATTTGCACTCCTTTTCTTCAGCTCGTACAGAAGGCTGACAGCCTGTCTCACTCCCATCAGAGATATCCCACCAGCTCCTTTAGGAGTTCAGCGTTGCATTTGGCCTGTTCTGATCTTCCTGATCCCCTTATTTTTGTGCTGCAACACCACCATCCAGCAGAAATCAGGTAGGATCTGAAGACATTTGACATTGCTAAAGAATCAAGCCTCAGCTGTCAGTTTTAGCCATTTGTATTCCAGATTTTTGTTCCACTGGATGATGGTTTCATTTTTGATTCTGTAATGTGTTCTTTGTGGAGGTTATTTTAAGCAGACAAATAGGTAGCCTGCTTCCTTCAGTGGATTTGTGCTGGTTTTAGCTGAGGTTTGCACATTTTAGCTATTGCCCTGTGGTTGTTCTGGTCTTGATGCATCTCTAAACCTTTGTCTGCCTCGCTTCTCCTCTTTGTGAAATAAGATGAGTAATTGTGCATAAAATTATGGATGTTGTGCATAAGCTGCACAATGGTTATGGGGCATTTTAAGATTTTCATATACAGGGGTCCATGTTCACTTAATCAATTAAGTGTAGTCCTGGCTTTAAGCATAGGCATAGCTAATGATTGTTACTCAAGTCGTTATAAAGTTTAAAATGTTTATTTGTTTATATATATATATATAAATGAAATGGAGTCTGTAAAAGATTTTTCTGCTAGTTACATATACTCATGTATCAGCAGATTATTCTGCAAGCTGGTCCAAATTAGGTGCCAAGTTGTGCCTTTTTTATTGCCTAGAATATGCAATTTGTGCACCTCACGTGCACCTTGTCCATTAACAATCTCTAACATTGTGTCACCCCATTAATATCAGCGGATGTACCCAGCACCACCTTGGGACTACATGGAAATCCAACAGAAAGGAGCAGAGATGCTGAGAAGAGGCACTTTGTGGCTCAGAGGGATTTCCTTGCTACCTGAAAAAGCCTCCTTGCAGTAGCTATTAGAGAACCTACCCACCCAAATGACTGTGCCCATTTGCTCCATGATTATTGCTGTTGAAGAGGCCTCGGTGTCAGTGTTTTGCTTTCCTCTGTGCTGCCAATGTGCAAAGGCTCTGGGTCTGCTCAGCTACATGGCACTAGAAGAGCTCTGAAAAGCAGCAGCTGAAAGATGGAAGAGAGCAACATCTGTTTTGAGACGAGAAAGACATGAGAGATGCAATCAGTGGGTTGATTTCCTGCCCCCCAACCCTGTGAGATACCAGTTTGACCCAGAGGAGTTTTCTGTGAAAATGAGTGTAAAAAGCTGCCCTAGGATGTTTTACTTGGAAAGATGACAATCTTGTGAGATTGTAAAAGGAACACAGCACCTCGTCAATGATGCCTAAGGACACTATTTCCATTACGGTAGCTGTTGCAAGTTTGATTCCCGAGTGTTTGATTCCCAAGTCTCTCTGAAGTGTTTGCTCAAAGGGTGAATCAGTTACTCTTACTGGAAGTTCCAGTTTCTGGTCTGAATCAGATATTTCCCTCTCTGAGGTCTCACTGGGAAATCACAAGCCAGAATTTGAAGTTTGAGTATCGCTGTGTTGCTAGATTATTCAAAAGAGATGTGGCAAACAATTCCCTGTCCTCTCCTCTACACATATTAGTTGGGACCAAGCGTCTTGGCTTTGAGGACTCAGATGTAAGCGTTGGTGTAGGCCTGTGATGCAGACTTTGTGACCTACTCTAAATTCAAGATTAGTAAGAGACGTGAGACGCTACATAAATGAGAGCAAAGCAGCATCCTCGTATGCTGAGCAGTACCATCTGCTCAGTGAGCAAAGGGTCTGCTGAGGTGAGGAAAATCTCTGGCAGCCCAAGTTTCCAGATGAAAGCACTCGGTCCCCAGGAAGCTTCCAGTGAGGTACTGAGATCATCAAGTAAGGAGCCTGATACCTGAAATGTGGCCTGCAGCAACCCAGAGACCTGGAACAGGACAGCAGCAGTGCTGAAGGAGCCATGAAGAAGTCTCAGAAGCACTGAGAAGAGAGAAGAGACCCAGTCAGCCAAAGCATCAACCCTCTGGGGACAGGAGGGAGAGGAGTGGCAGCAGTGAGGAGGTCCTGGTGACAGCCCCTGAGGCCTGCTGCAGCACAGAGGAGCTGTGTCAGAGAGGCTGTTGCCATGACATTTCTTTGGACAAACATCTGGAGTTCTTGGACCTACTGATGTGTTGCTACTGCGAGAGCCAAAAGCTCCGTCGCTGCTTTAATTGAAACCCTGTTGCTCAAGGAGCATTCAGCGCTGCCTCGAGTGAGTTCGATGTCTCCGAGAGAAGGGAGACATCCTTCATATCAGACACATTTACATGGAGAAAAGAAAAATAGAGACCGTCATTTTGCCCTTTGTGTGGTCACTCTGGAAGAATTTGATTTTAGTTGCATGTAACCAAACCAGCTGCCTAGGGCCCCAGGCTGCAAGTGTAGGTAAGAGGCACGGCATGTGGTAAGGAGCACAGCACACAGGGAAGGGCTCAAGCTTATGTTTCACAGCTGGGGACTCTGTGAACCTGCCTTTGATTTTGCTTTGCACTCTGGGTTTAAAAAAAAAAAAAAAAAAAAAAAAAAACAGCTGCTGACAACAGTGCTCCAGAAACATCAGACCTTATTTTTTGGGTCATTTAGCTCTCAGAGCACCAGTTTTAAAATGCCTTGTCCCAACTCTGCAAGTGCTTGACATCCCTGAAAACTGTGTTCAGGGGGTCTGGAGTGAAACAGCGAGGTGGATCTTACTGGAGACACCTAATCTTGGGCTTAAAGGGTATTATGAGGCTGAATGAAACGCTGCTAGTTGGAGCCCCTTAATATGCTTAGCGGTGTGTGCTGTGTGATTATTAATAGGGCTTCCTGGGAAGCGCATGCCTGTGTCAGTGCCACGTGTGAACTGCAGTTCAGAACCACTTGTAGTTTTGTCCCATTGGCGTTCAAAGGAGAGGAAAGCTTTGTGTGTGCTCTAAGTGGATTTAATTCAGGTGTATTGAAGAAAAAAAATGAAGAGTAGAAAAGACCATTAGCTATTAGGAGTGCCATTCATCTTGCTCCTAGAATGCCTTCTTTATTCAACAGTGCTTTCTCACAGAGGGTTCTGTGTTTCCCTTACACCTTTGGTATGTGTCTTTGATTTTATCAGCTTGCCTCTGATTTCCCTGTCAGGGTTTGGTAAACTGTGGACTATTCATTTAACTCAGCAGCTTTGGAAATCGTTTTGAATATTGCGTGAATCACTGTACCAAAGGGAAAAGGATGAAAAGGAGCGAGTGTGGATTGGATTGTAAAATGTGAAAGGGGACACAGACATACCCATCTACGTGCAGTGACCCAGGGGCTCCTCCTGGGATAGGACACCAGTGCTCAGGGCAGTTAGCACTCCCTTTCTCACAGTTTGAGTTCAATGAGGTCACTTGGGGGAGCATCTGGACTTGGCAGCAAGCTTCTTGTCATTGCGGAAAGTTGGTGTGACCCCCCCTGATTTGACTTTCGAGAAGAGGAAGAAGATGGTTTTCCTGGTAGCCAGCAAGCCTTGCTCACAGGCTTCCACAGTAGCAATGTTCAGAAACTCAGGAGCCTAGTGGGGCCAACTGGAGCTCATGAGTGCTCATGCACATATCACTGGGAGAAAATAAAAGAGTGCTACAGGTTTTCTTTACCTAGGGTAAAGCCTCCTCTAGAGTCTGTAGCCAAATCTTCCTCATCTTTGAAAAAGACGCAGCATATTTTGTGTGATTAGCACTTTGCTGGCTACATTGCCTGCTGACCTATCTGGCCAAAGTGTGCCTCTGTCTTTCTAACTCACTGCAAATGTCCTTGTTCTTAACCTCTTCCATTTTCCTTCTTCCCAGCTTTGCCATCAATGTTTTTCTTCTTTGAACAAAAGGATACTTTTATATGCAGCCACTGGTCAGCTATGTCCCTCTCTTTGCCACACTGACCTTCTTCAGATTCTGCATCCTTCTTTCCTTTTTCCTTTTTCCTTTTTCCTTTTCCTTTTTCCTTTTCCTTTTCCTTCCTTGTTTTCCTTTTCTGTTTCCTTTTCCTGTGCTGCTGGAAATGCATAAGGGGTGTTTATCTTCTTTAATACCCACACTGCTGTAAGCCACCCTTTGCCCTAGGGGTAAAGCCTGTGAGCTGGAAGTGAGCACCCTGGGGGCTGACTTCTGGACGAGCCCAAACATGGATTCAGAAGGGAACTCAGGAAACAGAGAGACCCTCCATTTGTGCTGCAAGAGAGTTAGATCAGCTTTATTTTAGCGGCCTTTTTTGGTTGTTTTAGATTTCACGTGTCTGTACAAGCTGTATCAATGCGTTTATCCAGTTGCAAAGCATCCCCTATCTCCAAGCCCACTGTAAAATTCCACACATACTTATAAGCTTATACATAAGGAGGTTTTCTTAATTAAGGCAGAGACAGAAACTGTTAGCACAGAAGAATTATTAACACGTCTGAGGCAGAAGGATTGCACTTGTTTCTTTGGACCCCTAGGTACAGAGATAAAATAGAAAAGGAAGTTTATAGACAAATGATATGACTGCAGAAAAGCTAATTGCCTGAAGCATTTAAACTTGGCTAATGATGTCCAGTGTTGAAATTCTCATCCCAAGGAGATTTCACCCAAGGGAAATCCTCATCCTTAGTATGCTGTTAAGAAGGAGAAATCTCAAGGGAGGAAATCACAGAACAACATGCAAAGCTTAATTCTAGTGAACTGCCAGGACCAGGTGGTGTTCATCACAAGCCGTGAGGGATCTGAGCTCCAAAACTGGAAAGTTCCTGACAAACACGTGCAATGTATCCCTTAAAATAGTTCTTCCTGGTTGCTGTAAAACTGTCACCAACAAGCCTCACCTTCAAGATGGAACCAAGAGTAACCTGGGGAATTACAGGTGAATGCACAATATCCTACACAGAGGGCAAGCATTTCAGAGGAATCAGAACGGAAACATAAACTTAGAAAAACAAAATTACATCATCTGACCAACAACACACTTCTGCTTTAAGTCCTCAGCTGGTCTTTGAAGTTGTTTGAAGACTTCATTTAAAATATTCAAAAGCAAAGATCTGGCATGTATCATCCACATTTTTAAGAGGTTTTTGATGACATTTGTAAGAAAAATGGACTTTATGTTATGCTAGACAGGTAGACTTCTGTCCCTAATTAAATACTGGCACAGAATCAAATGCTTTAAGTATTGGCTGTTCTTCAAAATGTAGATGACCTAACAGTGACATGCAGAGACCCGTGCTGGGATCCGTGCTCTTGTGTAATCTTTGTTGGTGATTTTCAGACTGAGTTGAAGATGATGTCATTGCATATCACTATCCACTTCAGGAAAAATTAGGGGGGCACAAAAAATCTAGAAAGACTTAGTTCAGTGAACAAAGTTGTAGGTACAGTTTAACTTGCATACGTGCAGACTTGAGTTGCAATGGGAAGAAAACTCTAGGCTGTTCACAACTGTTGAGGAATCTAAACCAGGAAGTTTTCCTTCAGAAGCAAAGGTCTGGAATGGTTATTGGTAGCTCTCAGCTTGCTTCACCAGGGCAAACAGGGATGATAAAGTCTTGCTTTAGGTTCCCGGAAAATAAAAGCTACACTCAGATGCAGTGGAAATTCAAATATCCTTAAAACAAATGAAAGGAAACAACTCTGCAAAATTCAGCACTACAGCATGTCATAAAACTTATGGTTTGCACGATCTAAAGGATTAGATCATTCTGCTACCATTAACAGCTTTACAGCAGACAAATTATATGGCCAATATCAAACATCAAATTCTGGGTCATAAACTTCACTTCTGGGAAGCAGAATAAAGAAAAATATCTTCCATGGCATTGTACAACAGGAGAGGCATAATTTTAGTTGGATCAAGGTTACCTTCGTCTTATATGGAAGAGCAATCTGGACTAATGAGCTAATAAGCAACTTTGCTCTTGCATTCAGATAACCTGTTTTAGGCTTTAGGTATTTCAGAGAAAGAGAGTGTCTGCCCGTGTGTTTGTATGCACCTACGTGTGTGTTTCAGCATTAGATATTAGTATTTTATGGAGAATGGACATTTAAATAAAGTCAAATGAAACTGCTGGCAAATTAAAATGTTGGCCTCCTATAATAATAATAAAAAATAATAATAAATCCTATTTTGTGCTTTATTGCAATGACTTCCAAAGTAAATTGGAAATTTACTCCACTCCACTAAGTATTTGCACTGAGGTCCCAAAAGTCATGTGCAGTTATTTAAGGGATGGTCTGAAGGTCAGCCTCAGTGTCATAGTCACAAAATTTTGCAATACATTGAATAATAAGAAGTAATAAAAATGCAAAAGTAGAGAAATTGTCTTTAAAACAAAACTGAAAAAATCTTACTAGCACAAAAGAAGTCATTGATAAAACTGCCATGTGGTATTATTGACTGCATATTTACTCGGTATATTCCCACTATATTTGAAGAAAGGGCTCTTGTCTTTTCTCTCTCTCTCTCTCTTTTTTTTTTTTTTCTTTTATTCCTTGAGGGAGAATTAGAAGACATTTCACAGTAGAATAGACTGATGTAATAGCACATGTAGTGATTAGTTAACACAGGTTCATAGACACACAGCAATTACTGGCATTTTTATGGTATTGAGTTATAACTGCTGAAATCTGATAAAGCCCAAGCCAAATCTTTAGACAGCAGATGAAATTTCTGAGAGAACCTAAGGGGTTTATAAACATGTAACATGTCATGCTTCAAACATTGCTTGGCATTTAGCCTTAGTTTGAAGTTACCTTTAAGAGCTCAGATTTGGGCTAAAATTTTCAGATGCACTAACATTTGCATACACATTATATATATTTATATATCTGTATGTGGCAAATATACGTTGTAAATACCACCATGCGAGTTTTAAAGAAGGGACTAGCAAGGGATCTCTGGGGATTTCAGGACTGAAGGAGTCACATTTTGAAGGAAGAATTCACGGAAAATACTTCACGCATCAGTGACATGTATATTCTGAACCCATACATGCAGTCGCCTCTCTCTCTCTCAAAAATTGCCATTTCCCCGTGAGAACTGGAGAAAAAAATAAAAGTGTTCCCAGCAAACCTGCAAGCCATTAGTTATGAATTAGGTGATTATACATGAATGACTCTTTAATTGTTCTGTCTGGGTAGGTAGGCAACACAGCAGTACTAGGCAATGAGAGCCCCTGATGTGATCATATATTGGCAGTGCTCTCCTGACATCCAGGAAGAATAGCAAAATAGTGAGCAGAGACTTAATTGTCACTGATTTTTTTTTTTCCTCAAAAAGCCTTACAATCTTGAAATTAAAATTGCTTTCTCTAGGCTGACCTAATCACTGTGAGATATCCTTGATATTCAGTCTCAGTAACTAACTTGTCTCAGTGGCTAAATTAGAAAGCGCTGTAAATAAATCATGTACTATGTTTAGAGTGCTTCTGTCTGTCATGATCAAAAGTGTTGTGATAAAGGTAATGGATTACTCCTCTTCACTCGGTGTAATCACTGCAAGCATCAGCAGCTGCAGGACCTGATGCGACCAGTAGAAAGGCAAGCCTCGATGCAGCTGTGGCTCCAGCGTGGCTGGTGTTCAGGCTGTGAAGAGCAATCTGTGTGGAGCAGTTGGTCTGGGATCTGTGCTTTGTTTTGAAATCTGCTCTGAAACACTCAGCATAGCTGACAAACTAGCTTATTTTCTGGGTGTGGTTCTCCAGGGCTTGGGAAGGATGCCTGCAAAACTCTTCGGGAAGACTTGTTTTGGAGTGCTGAGTATCGATGAGCTGGTGAATTGTTTCTGATGAGCTTATTGCTGCCAAAGGTGCTTTTGAATGATGCACAGCCATAGTCAAGATGAACTCATCTGCTATTAATGAGAGCGTGACAAGTACTTTTTTTTTTTTTTCTTCATCTTCTCTAAGGTTTTGACTGTCATCTGGGAGTCAGTGGGACGATATTATTCTATTTCCTTCTGGGTCTCGATCAATCAGGGTGGACAGAAGAAGCAAAAAAAAATGAGAAAGGACATGCAGAAATCCAAGAAGGCGATCAGGTAGTTAATACATAAGTTTACACCAAGAAAACGGGGGAGAGCCAAGACAGAAGAGTGTAGCTCTGGATTCCTTCCAGAGATCTCTGAAGACCAGGAATGCTTTTGCTGTTCGTTTACACAACTCTACCTGGGTTCTTGCCAGGAAAGGAGCAGGCAGAGGAGGGTGTGTGTGTGTTTGTCTTTCCCTCCTCAATATGAAATAATGTCTTCTTTCCTCTGCCATTTCCACTGCTTGTGGCCATGTCTGTTTGCAAAGTTACCATCTGCCCCATGAAGTGAGCTTGTCTGAATCACGAGTTTGCAGGGATGGGCTGCTGCAGAACACTTATTTTTCTTTTGCCTTTTGTTAATTGTTTACCTTTCAGTGCCCATGAAGAAATGCCCTAAATATGGCTTTTGTTTTTGTAGTGGCAATGTCTTGAATTGGCCTCTTCTGATTCTCATTTGTGTATGTCTATGGAGTGCATTTAATTTTCCTCTTTTTAGTAGCCTTTAGCAGGGTTGAGACTGCACTTAAGAACTAAAGGCCCTTTGAAAGTGATTGTGTCATCATACAAATAATCCCGAACGTGTCTAGTAACTATTTAAAACAAAAGGGTTCATGGTACATTTGTGAAGTTAAGGGGGAGGGGGGGAACAAGAACACTGGTTTTGGGATGCATAAAGCCTTTTTCACACAAGCTGATATTGTTGAAGTGATCTTTTTACAGCTTCCCAGTGGTCTTTAAGTCCTCGCAGGGTTTGGGGACAGGGGGATACAGGCCGGGGAGTCTTGTTCCTCTGTTTCAGTGAATGCTCGTGTGTCACACCTCAGAGAAGGGACAGCTTTACCTCATAGCAGCTTGCCATATGTGGCTGACAACGTCACGACTTGCACTGCTGTCTGTGCACAACGAGAGCAGACACACTCAGTGCCACACCTTCCCTCCAGCTCACGTTGCTCTGGGCCGCCATCACCTGCACCCTGTGAGGACAGGCCTGGGCAGGCAGTGGTGCTGTGGCTGGGCTCCAGGGGCAGCTCCTGGCAGGGAACAGCCCCATCAGGCTGCCCCACACGTCACAGGGACTTGCACGTCATGGCCTGTGTTGGGTCTGGCCCTGTTCTCCGCTTCCCGTTGCTTCATGACCCAGTGTAGCAAGGACTTGCCTTCTGCCTCCGCTCGCCAATGTTGTTTATGTGCTGAGCGCTTGTGAAAGAAAAGAGCTATGCACAACCAGAGGGCACTGTGTTCAGTTTTGGGCCCCCTAATTAAAATACAGGTACCTGAGTTGCTGGAATGTGCTCAGAGAAGAACAACAGAGCTGATGAAGGGACAAGAAAACAACACTAGAGGGACCTGGGGCTGTGCAGTCTGGAGAGCAGCAGGCTGAGGGGACACCTCGCTGCTCTCCACAACTACCTGAAAGGAGCTTGCTGCAAGGAGGGTGTTGGCCTCTTTTCTCAGATGACAAGTGATAAGATGCAAGGAAATGGCACCAGTTGCACCAGGGGAAGTTTAGATTGGACTTCTAGGAACAATTTCCTCACAGAGAGCGTGGTCAAGCATTGGAAGAGTCTGCCCAGGGAAGTGGTGGAGTCTCCATGCCTGGAGGTATTTAATAGATGTGTGGACATAGAGAGATTAGATTACCAACGGTACAACTGCCACCAAAATTCTGCTGGACAGACTGCAGTGCAGAAATTGTTGCCCTAATCATTGCTGCTCAAGTTAATTGCCATTAACTAATTTGACATTCAGCATCTCTTTAAAAGGAAGTAAGCTTCAAAATATTGATTTGTAACGTGAGATGACAAACAGCACCACCAGATATGTGAAAATCATCAGGAAAAATGTCTCCATGAATATTAAGACCTTTATGAATGGTTCTCATAGACAATGCTAAGTTCCACACATTTACTTTGCTAGAAACTATATTGGAAGCACAACTGGATTGATCTCGGCTCCACAGCATGGGCCCAGCTGAGACCTGGAAATTGTGCTCTTCTGAGAGCAAGGACAGCTGCTTCTGCTATCAGCCACACCTCGTCATTAGTGCAGCTGTGACCGTAAGGTGTTGAGGTTTACTTAGTGATAGCAGTGTTTAACGTCATGTACATCACTTCTGAGTCAGAAGTTCAGCACCACGGGCAAGTATTCTTGTGTTTCCATGGAGGAGCACCTACCGTGACACCAGATTGTTAAAAGTGTAAAAGAAAGAGGAATTAAGGGAGGAGAGAACTGGGAGGAAGGAAAGCACTTTGAATTTATTCCCTGTATTACAGACGTTTGTAAAATATCCAGTGCTTGAACCCTGAGTATGTGGTCAGAATTTCCTCTCACTTTTGTATGACCTACTGAGCAAACATTGGCTTGTTGACGTATAATAGCTGCCTTCAAACAGGATATTATTCAGCACTCTAATATAATCTAAAATCTATTTCAAATAGCCAGGTTAATCCCCATCACCTGTGAATGGAGAATAAAAAATAAATTATTCACAACCCATTCCTTCCTAGTAAATTCCCAAAGATTTAACGCTGGCTGGAATCAATTAAACTGCTGTGCTGTTCCTTTAGGGTCTTAAGTATTTAACTTCTCAGTTTGGACTTAAACATGGACAGTGGCATGCTTTTCCTGGTATGAATTCACAGCAAGCTGTGTTTTTTAAGGTGTTTTGGACCAATAATGACTCATTTAGAAAATAAATCTGTTAAAGGCAGAAATGAGAAAATACCAAGAGGGCCTTAGTGTTCCTGCATGGTTCTGTGGGGTCTGATTTTTGGTTTAAATCTTACCAAGTGAGCTGGTATGATTGATGAGATGTGGATGTATATACAGAGCTTACTGGAAAGAAACAATTGCATCTAGTTAGTTTATATGCCATAAAAACAACATTACCTTTACAACATCAAAATCCTTCTGACATGAAGCAATGTTGTTTGGCCCTACTTCAGTTAAAAATGTAGTTCTTTACTTTTAAAGGAATGGCAAACAGAAATGCATTACTGAGGAAAAGGGCTACCCCTCGTATCTCACAGGGGCCAGCTCACCAGCAGATGTGTTTTCAACCTGCCAACAAGTAAGTGCTTCTTCCTGTAAACTGCTTAAACTTTTTGAGATGTCCTTCTAACCTGTTGTTCAGCTTCTCATTGTGTGGTGGAGGGAGGCAGGAGAGAGGAGATGGTGTGAGAAAACACCTTCCTTAACTGGGAGACTGCGGTGTCAGTTGTATCCCTCAGAAGAGGTTGAGGAAAACAGCTTGCTTTGCAGTTGGAGGCCATAGGGGTTCATGCCATTTTTTTTTCTTTTAAGGTTTTCCTGCCTGTTTTGAGGTGACTGCTCAAGCTAATTGACCTCTTTGGCACTACACGCACTAGAAATCAGACTGACTTACTAGTTTCTTCTCTCATCTCACAGAGCATGTGCATGTTCACTAATAGGGCAGGCTTCACAGATATTGAGAGGCTCTCCACTAATTATCTTTCTGTTTTAAAGGGAAAATGCTTAACAGGCAGACCTCTCAGGCCGTTATGTCTACTCCTGGCTTTTCTCCGCTGTTCCTGACCTCTCTGCTTCCATCTGTTCTCCAAAATGTGCTCTTGAGAGGTGAAACAGGATCCTTTTGTCTGTATATTTTGCTGTCAGTGATCACAGTAACAGCTAATCCCACAGCATTTAAAACATGGTGATGCCAGTTGTACATTTAACAGCCTTCAAAGCCACTATTAGGACATTTCTTTTGCCAACTGAAAAGAATATAAATGCTTTTCAGACCGCTTTGGAGTCAGGTGTGCAACATGCTGTATCTGAAAAGAAAGCGTTTCATTTTCAGCCCTGTCAGCCAACAAAGCTGTGCTGAGTTTTTGCAGTTGTTCAGGTCCCAGAAGGGTATTATACTAAGCTAGCAAATGGCCTTGGAGGAGGGAAGGAGTGAAACTCAAGACCAGAGATTGATACTTCGCGTGACCCTGGCTCAGTGGAGCAGCTAGCATCTATCAGCTCCAGCAATAGCTGCAAACGGGTGCCTTTGGAGCCAGCTTCTTGTTTCGCGTATCACATCAGTTTATAACCTTACCTAAACTAAACTTCAATAAGTTAGGATTTTGGGAAACAATTCTGATTCACTCTTTTACCCTGTGAAACCCTATTGCTGTTACTGCTGGACGGAATCCAGTGGCTGTCCGAAGCGAGAGTTCCTGCTTATTTTCTAATTTATTCCTAATCACCCTGGCTTCCTTTGGCTTGTTTTGAGAGAGGAGAGGGAAGTAATGCTTATGGGTGCCAAAGCGTCTCAGTTTTTGGAAAGCCAGGTCACTTCCATGACTCTGCTCCTCCTCTTACCCGAGGGGCTGTACATGGGAGTGGGAGCTGGGTGTAAGCAAGGGAAAGGAATGGGAGGATTGCCTGCTTGAGAAAACATGCCTTCACTGGAGGTATTGTCCATCTTCTAGCATTGTCACAGGGAAAAGTGTCTCACAGGGAAAGTGTCTTCATCAGATAGAAGTGCAGAAGCCGGGTGTTAGCTCCTGTCCTTTGCCATGGCTAGATGAAGGGCACAGTGCTGGGTCCTGTGCACAGCTGGAGCTGTAAGCAGCATAAATGGTTAAGCCATACAGAAGGAATAAAGCGATGTTTGCCCACATCTTATGGCACAGCGCTCAAACACAGCTCAGCAGATTGCAGACTGCCTGCCTGGGCCTCACAAATCCTGCTGCAGGGTCTTCCTGCACCTCGGCACTGTTTGTACTGCTTTGGCCTGGGCTTTATAAATAAACCCGCTCTGCAGCCTTCCCAGCTTTGGCACCTTGTTAAACTTTTTTTTTTTTTTTTCCTTTCAGTTTTATATTCCTACCAGATTAGTGTGACCATTGTTTCTAGCCATGCTTCTGGAAGGTAAAAATTCTGTTTTCATTACAGCAAATGCCAGGCAGACAACATCTTGACAAGTTGAAAGCTCTGGTGTTCGTGACAGGTTCTTCTAGGACAAATTCATTTTGAAGAGTGGGGAGGCTGGGAAGATTAACCCTGTCTTTAATTTTCTGTCAGCTGCAGAATCCCATTGCAAAGATGTAGTAACAGGTGAGGGGAAACAAGGGAGGGAAGTCTTGTTTGTTTTTTTAACCATCTCCAGACATGATATAACTGGCAATTTCTGATCTGTTTGCAATGATATTAATTTGTCATTGAATGTTTTCCAAAAGATTCTGTGCAATGACTGCTTAGGGTGGCAGCTGTGATGCCACCATGGTGAGTGCAGGCAGATGTGTCTGATCGTGAAGCCTCTGTCTGCTCTGATAGGTTGACCACAAACACCACAGCTTCTTTGCAAGCACGGTATGCTACTAGCAGACATTTAATTTTGTTATTTTTAGTTACTCTAAAACAGGTATTAACAGTTAACAGGCATTTTCTGTGACTTATTCTAAGGGTTTTTCCTTTATTTCAACAAGTTTGTCCTATGTAACTGAAGAGGAGAGTGTAATGGAATTGACTTTCTTACAATTTAGGTTGAGAAACACAGTGGATGGAAGAAGCACACATATATGTTCGTATCTGCAAACTAGATAAGCCATTTATCATCTGGATCTAGTTAATAACCAAACCCAGTAACAAGGTAGGGACGGGACCATATCATGAACAACTTCCTCCTGACTGATGATCACCTTCTGATCTGTGTGTGCTTGTCAATATTAGGTCAAATTGCACGTTCAAATCTTGGGTGAGCTTAGGGAGGGCAGTGCTGGCATGGTTTATAGATTTTGAACATGCACATCTCTATAAGCAAACAAACTGAAATTATATATAGGGAAGCCTCGAATGATGGTACCATAGGAATGGTACTAAACCTCTATTGTGAGGACACCAGAATTCATTCAAATGACCTAACCAGTCTTGTATAAATGAATAAAGCAAGGTTGGCTTTTAAAATTGTGCACAAGTTGCTTCTGAGCCTTGCTGCTAAGACTACCGCCTGAGTCAGGAAACACGACTGTTCATTAAAAGGTCGAGAAAGGAAAAGGAGGATGACAAGACAAGAAAGATGGTAGCTTTGCTTAGCCCTTGAGATGCAAACTCTTTATCGTGTCACTCTGAAAAAGCTTTCCAGGGAGGAACTGACCTCATTTGTGACCTCTGTGACCCTCGGTGATAATCACAGAGCTCTGCTCCATCAATCCGCTTAGGAGGTCAGAAAGGCTTGTTGTTGTAAGAGCCCAGGAGAAAGACTTGGGTTTGTGTGTGCAAAACAACCCAAATGGTAAGGTGTCACTCCCTGGGGGATGAGGTGTTGATACAAGCACCTATCCCTACAACCAGGTGGGGGAAAGGTGAGGGAGGTGAGGTCATGTTCTCACGTTTCAAGCAGGAACTCAGTCTTACGTGGCACTAAAAGCATACATTTTACTTTCCAGAGTTTTCTGGGCTTAAAATTAAGCATGGCCTTCGATTTTATAAGCTACAGCCATCTTCCAGTAAACAGTTTGCATAATTTAACCCTAAAACACAGATATTAACAACAACATTAAAAGGGAGGAGGGAGGCTCCAAGTTCTTGTTGCAGTGCTAGGTTTCATTAAAGTATCACAGTGCTACAATACCAACAAGGAAAGAGTTAAGCAATTAGAAATAAATAAATCATGCCAGTGTTTTCCACCCTGGAGGTATCACAGAGCCACAGAATGGTTGGAGTTGGCTGGGGCCTCCTGAGGCTCTCTGGTCCAGCCCCTTGCTCCAGCAGGGACACCCAGAGCAGGGTGCCCAGGACCACGTCCAGGCAGATTTTGAAGGTCTGAGAAAGTGGGATAGTCCAAAATACATATTAAATATGTCCATATACATTCATATCCTTATATACGTGTATGGCTTAAATTCTGTTTCTGAGCTTTTACAGATTGAACAATTTGCTCATCCAGACATCTCCCAATGGCCAGGATTTCCACAAAGTGAGAACTACAAATCTCTCTGAGCGACTGCGGCTGACTCTGTCTCTGTTATGGGAAAAAGTAATCAGTAGCCAAACACCTCCAGAGCTCCGTGAGCTGGGAGAAGGCTTTATTGGATCAAAACCCCTCTTTCATGAGCTCACACTCTGGAGGGCACTTGCAGTTTCGTATGCAGCGTGTCAGAGTCGTAACCAACACATCTGCACCCTAGGCTGACCTCTGTAAAGCAGAGATTTAAAAAATGGAAATGAAAGTGAACACGCTGTTGTGAATGTGATGCGCCCACTTCGCTCCTAATCCACTGCAGTTGTTGGTGAGACTTCGCTGCTGCAAGCTGCAGGTTGCTCACCATCACCTGGGGACAGCTTAGCCATTTACTGTCCTAATGGGGCTTGAATGCAGGGTTCAGTCTGCTGAAGTTAAAGCTTGCTAGCACCGAGGACTTTCCCTTCCTCCTTCCAAACATAAGATCGCTGCTTAAAAACACTTTGTGGGAAATTCTTCCTCCCTCTTCATGCAATCCTACCAAGAGCACCCTGGCCTGAGCCTACCATCAAGTTAATATATGGGAGATGTGATGTCATCTACATAATTTGTGTGCTGCAAGAAGTCGTTTTCCCAGGAGTGTTCGAGGCAGTTGTAGCTTTAAGGCCTGTGCTTCCTAATTTAAAGATAAAGTCAGTTGCTGGCAATTTGTGCCTTAAAGCAAATACTTCAAAGGACAGAGAGAAACCTTTAGTGTCCTAAGTCTCTCGGGACTCATCCCCTTGTATAATACCATGTGTTTATTCTC